ATACAACCAGGAAATCATGAAATATGTAATAATTGCATAATTAAGTTCACTTCAAGCCATTTGAAATACACAATAGTGCCTAAGAGTGTGGAAAAAACGTTCATTTATTCAAATTGATATTAATTGAATATGCAATCATAGAGTACTTGTTAAAGCTCATACTTCTGGTGACAGGGTTTAGTTAAAGCTCATACTTCTGGTGACAGGGTTTATACAAATGGTGCAAGCCTTTATCCTACTCTTCAATATTCAATACATGATGAATTTTCTGTAAAGAATCTTCACTTAATGATTTATAAAGCACATCATACATTATTTACCATGGCTCTTTTAACCAAAGTTCAGAAACATTTTAAATAAAGTCTGAAATATAACTTTAATATGTTTCATTCCAGGAAAATTATGTTCATAAAGAAAAATATGAAAAAATCCAGAAACTTTTTGAGGTAAGTAAAAATACAATTCTTGATGAACACCTAGTTGTGCATTTGCAGGAACTAGTTTATACCATGCTAAAATACTTCTGAGAGAGTTGCATTGGCTGCCGGTCCACGCTCGCAAAGAGTACAAAATTGCAACTCTGTGCTACCGCTGCTTGCATGACCTTGCACCGTCCTATCTCAAAGCGCTCATGACGCCTTATGTACCCACTAGACAACTCCGCTCATCCGATAGTGGCATACTCTCAATACTAATACCACGTGTTCGCCTTGAGACTTATGGAAGGCTCACTTTCACATTTTCTGGCCCAACAATATGGAACACACTTCCTGTCGCGCTCAGAAACAGCCAGACACTGGAGTCTTTCAAAACCGATTTGAAAACACATCTATTTTGCAAACACCTGCTGGGGTGATGTTGTCTACCATCTTTTCCAGCTAGCTATTATCTCCTAGATGTATATTGGCCTTTGTTGTTTATGGTTGCAAGGGATGAAAGACTTATAATGGGTTTGCTCGTATGTAGTTTTTGTTATGTTGTGTTTTGTATTTCAATTTGGTATAATATAGATTGTTCCATTTCTCTTTTAATGTGGTCGACTTTGTATCGCACTTCGAGCCTTTGGGGATGAAGCATGATTATCAAATAAACTTTATTATTATTATATAAATAATAGATGGAAAGAGTTGGTTCTTTTATTTTTACTTATTTTATTTTTTTCCAGACATTTTTACAATTGTTTAAATCTGCTTTACTGTTAATTGATATTTATTATTTGTAAATTGAATATTGTTAGTATCACTAGCTTCGATAATAATTTTCTTTGCATACCGTTTTCTCAGTCCTTTTTTACATGTTTGTTTTACGAGGCAAAGCTTAAAACATATTAAATTTTCAAAACCTTAGCGGACTCAGGCAAATGTATTTTACATTAACTTGGTTACCTTTCAACTGGAGTTGTTATATTTTCAACAGGAGTTCATCAGTTTTAGGCCTTCATGTTTTTGAGTTTGTTTAACTTTTTAATGTTACAGGAAGAATATGCAAAGCACAGTGAAACCCAAGCTAAATTACAAGATGTTCTTGAAAAATTTGACAGCTGCCTTAATGAGATATCAAAAATGGAGCAACAGATGAAAGAAAGTAACTCAGCATTTAACCTAGCGTAAGATTTACATTCTGTGATTTATTTTGTAGTACCTTTTTTATTTTTATTTTAAATCTTGTAAGAAACTTGTATATAATTTGGAGAACAATTTAATTTATAATTATAATTGCTAAATAAATGACACATTAAGCTTTTAGAGGAATTAAATGGTTAAATAAAAAGTTTTATATGAAATCAATAGCTATATTAGAATTATCAGTGTTATAAATTGCAAACTACATTGAAAGGACTTTACAGGAAATTTTGAAGTGTTTTAAATCATTAAAAACATCAATCACTAATCAGCTGTTCTTAATCAACTGAATTTCCAAAATAAAAATTTTTAATTATAGGCATACCTTGTAGAAATAAATGTTTTGTATAGATAATTAATCAATGTCAATTATGCTTTTACTATTTGAACTTGAATCAGGTGTGACACATTAAAAGGTGAGTTGTCAGATGCCTATGCCAACAACAGAGAACTAGGAGCTTTTCTTAAAGGTAATTATTCCACTATTAGTTAATGAAATGCCATTTTTAAAAAAAGATTGAATGTATTCCAGATCACAATACAATATTTATAACTCTGTAGACCAGCATCCTACAATGCAGTGCTCATCGTATGCCTGGAGCCATATGGTACCATGACAGCATTGACATTTATCATAATTTCTAGAGCATTTATTTGTGAATTAGTGTAAACCTGAATTTTTTTTATAAGTGTACTTCTATGAACATGGCCTATCCACTGTCACAAACTTGTTTTCTTTTCTAAAAATCTTACCCTGACCACAATCTTTTATTTTGCAATGGAGAAAGAATCTGCTTCCCAAGACATTCCTTCTACTAAATATTCTATCTGAGATGACTCTGCTTTAGGAGTGCGGTCATTGTCAAAGTGGGGTTACTTCTGGACCTTTTCAGAAGCTGAACAGACAAAATGGCAGATGCAGCTTAATCAACAATATGGCAGCTGAGGCCAATAACTGATCTAGTTAATAATTTTTACAACCCTACTTAGGGGTCAAAAGTGGATATACAGTATATAGAGTTCACTAAGGGCCATAAATCTTTCTCATGCAAATATGAATTCTCCTTTTTAGATAAATTATTTTAATCTTATGGTTTTTTTTGGTTTTATTTCCTTAGAAAAGACTTTACAAAGTGAGAGACAGGAAGGCATAATTCAACAAAAACAAGCAAGGATTGAGGAGCTAGAACGAGAAAAGACATTGCAATCAAGGAAGTATCAACAGAAGCTGACAGAAACTGAAATTGAGAAGCAGCAAGAGGCCTACCTTTACAAGATGTTAAATGATGTTAATACGAAAAAGAAATAATTGTTCTTATATTAATTTATGGTATTTATTTATGGTATGTACATAATTTTTTTTATAAATAACAGTATACAAATAATGAAGTATGCATATATTCATTCAGTTCTTTTAAGTTAAACATATTTTCATTGACAATATTTGTCATTCTATTATACTTCTTGCTCAAGAATAAAAATCTTTCTTTTAAAACTTTTATTTTATTTATTTTAATAATTGTTTTGTGATGATTGTTGCATTGCATCTTTTATGTTTGGCTTCAGTAAACTAATTCATAGATTTTTTTTAAAATTAGGTAACATAAATTCATAAGATAAGGAGAATAAAATCTTGGTTTGTCTGTCCTTAGTTCATTTACAAATTTAAAATTTGAAGCAGCTGATCAATTCCACTGGTATTTCTTACAAAAGTAGAGCTGAAATGATCCTCATCATACAACATCAAAAATATTATATAACCAGATCAATAGAGTAACCATCATTTATCACTTATGATGATCATCCAGCCCTGACTCTTAGTGTGTCACTCAGTCATATACCCTACCCTGAATAGCTCTGCTTTCCTAAACACCAGTCTCCCTCCCCAACACTTCACCACCCTATTTGCTGACCCCCCCACCCTCTCCCCACTTACAATGATGTTTCTTAAATGTAATTTACTTATACGGTACTTATAAAGTGCATACTTTATTTGTAATACTTTCATTTAATCTTATTGTTAGCTTTGCACCTAACCAAAGAACCCACAATAAACCATATTGGTTATCTACACATAACTGCTTGTAGTATTACCTCAAACAAAATTTCATTTTATGTGCATTATTGCACAGAATCATAAATACTTTAGCTAAAATATATAATTTATTTTGCGAACACAATACAAACTTGCAATATTGAAATACGTACAATGGCTTTTAAAAATTAAATCTAATGCTAATAAAAAAATTAAGTTAGCACGTAACTAAAATGAAAATATTCCAACAAACAGAGAAAATGCAGACACAGATTTTTTATACATGTACTATAAAAGGTATGTACCATAGGTCCTCGGAATCAAAACTTAATCCATTCCAGAACCCCGTTCAAGTTCCAAATCATTAGAGATCCATGACAATTTTTTCCCTTTAAAATAATTGAAAGTGGATTAATATGTTCCTGCTTTCCACAAACTCTATGGATCCCAGTATTTTTTAAAATTTCTCCAACCACCCTTTACTGGCTTTAAACTCCTCTTTTGAGCACTAGTATTAGGCATGCCTTTCACTAGATCATTGTGGAGGACTTTGCCCGTCTCACATATTAACGTCACAAAAATCATAGCTGTTTTTAATTAAAACAAACTAAAACTAAGAGGAGTTTTTTTTCCCCACACTTTTCTATATCCTAGAGGTCAGTGCGGTAACCCCTTTGCAACTTCAGCTGCTTTGATACTGATAGGTTACTTATTTTTCAAAATAGTACAGTTTTTTAGGCATCCCAAACAAAGTAGCAAGATCAGCCACACATGTATCCTTTTCATGCTTAGCCTTAAGGTCTTTCTTAACTTCAATTGTAGCTGTAACTGACTGTCCTCTTATTTTCCTCAGTAGACTTTTAAGAACCAATTGCGAATACACAAATTGTTTTTAAAAAAACATAACAGGCACAAAATCATAAAATTGACAACAAAATTCACACAAGATTCCAACATCAAACTGAACAACAAAGAGTATGGGTGGCCTGAGCGCTGAGGAAATTTACTTACAAATAATACCTAAAGAATGTTCCTGCCACTCAGATTCCATAGCAGTGTTTGAATTTCAAGCAAAAATTTTTCTAGTAAATTTTTTCCAGTTTTAGGGCATTATGTTTTTGAGGCTTACTGTACTTGTTTACTCTCAAGCTCAAACCAGAACAGATAGAAGAGCTTCCCTTGCAAGTACATTTTCATATGATATTTTAACCAGCACACAATAGAAATTTATCTGCATAGGGGAGATCACAGGCATTATGAAGATTTATTCATAACCCTTATTTCATCATAAATTAATAAAAGACTTGTGGAACAACAGTTCTTAAACATTTTAAAAGTTGTTCTCAGCTATGCATAGTTATGCTAGTGGCATTCCAATGATTTATACTGTCTTTCCCCAAGCAAACTTCATTCATGTCAGGTGACTTTATTGATGTTACAAATACTGGGCATCTGCCCTTGGATTGGACAACAATATCTATAGCAGTCTTTAATTTCAATTGGATGCCTCCTGTTACATCATTGCAAGACTGAGATGTGCAGACTGATTCTTGGATTAATCCATCAGAATTGACTAATATTGATTTCAGCAGTTGTGCACCTGAAAAATAAAAAACTGATAATGGAACTTCAACATAAAAAAAAAAATTACATATTTTATTTTGTACAAATAAAAGGTCAGCAAACTATCAATGAGTTTTTGCAACATTGTGACCAGTTAAATTATATAATACAATTCTTACTTTACTGATAGAAAACATTATCTACAAACATTGATAATTTTTGCTCTTTTAGTTAACTAAATGACTAATAATAATAAGGACAAATTAAGTAAGTGTGCTGATTCAGCAGGAATTTTTAACTCATGCAGTAGCTATCTTTTAAAGTCTATAAATTAACAGATTTATTTACCTGGTTGATCTGGGGGCCTATTGTAAATGCCTGCCACATCAGCCAGAAACACAACTCGTCTTGTAGTGAAGGCATTACATAAGGACTATAAAATAGAACAGAAAAGAAATGCAATATATTAAGATAAGAGATCTTTTTCAAATTTGAAAAATCTCAAGATGTTTGAAAATGCTGATTACTTACTTTAATAATTGTGTCACCACTTAAAATGCAGCATCCCAAAGTTTTATCAACACAACAATCTCCATGCAGCACAGGTACAAAACCTTTTTCAACGAGTCCTGCAATGATTTCATCCGGCCATCTTACTGGTAACTTTTTGTCAACTTCCCAAGAGCTTCCTGGCTAAAAAAGATTCATCAAAATCATTAACAACCTTTACCCTTATACATAAAAGAGCAGTAACAAAAGAGAAATCTTAATTTTTCTTAGAACTTTGAAGCTTTTCATAATCCATTACAGCAAACAATCTTCTATGAAATAAATATATGACTATAACTTGCATGCATACATTCATACAAGTTAATTTGATGTAAGTTAATATTAAATTTACTGCAACTGATATTTATACTTACTGAACAAGCCACGGCTGGTACACCAACATCAATCAAACAATTAACAACTAGCTGATTTAGCTGTGGAGAGGAATAATGTTTTTACAAGAAAATAAATCATTAAAATATTGGGGGCTGAAAAAAGTATTAATTTAACTTACAGTTACAGAAAAGTATATAATTTCACTAGTTATGCATTTCAAATACAAAATTATTGTTTGGCATTTAGTTAATGCCAAAAATTTTTGCACCATGTGTTTTATATTTAAAATTTATGTTACCACAAGAAATAGACTCAGGGGCTAAATTCATCTATTTTTTAATACAAAATGGAAAATACATTCAGAAAAATGTTAAATTCCAAAGCTTGTATAACAGGCACTGTTTCACTCATTTCTTTTTATTCTACAACCGTGAGCATCATTATGATATGTTTGAAGAATAAACATCCAAATTATCCCAGAAAATTGGGTTTTTAAAAATTAAAGCTCTAACATGAAAAGGAAAAGAAACTCAATAATTATTATAATTATATTTTACTAATTAACAACAAGGACAGAGCATCATTTTGTAATTATTCAAGTAAATATCTCTGGTTCCCTTTTATAAACAGCTCTATAAGAATTATTGATAATTATTGATTAATTCTTGGTTTGCTTCAAAAGCAAAATTATCATTTATATCCCCACTTTTTAAAAAAATGACAAATATTTCAAATCATCACAATTTTTATGAACCAATTTTTAGATAGGCTACCAGCAAAGCTAAATAAACAGAATGAATGTTAGAATTTTATTCCAATTAGGGGAATGTAAAGCAATGCTTGCTCTTGATCTGGAAGTAAGTTTGGAAAGAGCCACCAGGACATAGGAAAAATTCCTAGTGAGCTGATAGGGCCAGGGGTATTGGGGCCTCCCATACCATACAATAAAACTAGCTTAAAAAATCTCTGCTGAAAGATTTTTGACCTTGGTGCCTTGGACCATCCAGTCCACCACAGCCAAAAACTATTAGCCTAGGACCTTCCCTATCTGTGGGCCTGGTGCAATGGACTAGTAAGCAAAATAAGGAAACAATTTTTAAGGAGAAGGAGATAAACTTTATAAAAAACTTCATAAATATGGAAAAAATGCAGCCAACTTGGTATTAAAATATTGGTTATTTATTTCAACTACTTGTCGTATTATTACCAGTTAAGTTACAGTTGCTCGAATGAAAAAAACAACAGAACATTTAAGTAAAATTTGTAATTATTATATTGTACAGAGAGTCAAAGACACATTTACTGTTTGACCATTAGGCCACTATTTTTCCCTTTCCCATTTGCTCAGTTCCAAGCTTTGTGAACTTTTACCACTGTCAACACCTGTGGACACCCAGAAGTTTTTAATGCAGGTACTTTTAGATTAAATTTTTATGGAGGTATTGCATCATCGATTACAATATTGCTGACCTTGGTGACTGACTGCCGTGTTAAGCAGAATCCTTGCCTTTTGAAATCAAGCTCGTCTTTTGTTGTTGCTGTGACAAAGCCATCATTGACTTGATACCTTTTAGCTTGATGGTGCCCAAATGAACTGCAAGAAAAGGACAAAAGAAAAAGTTATTAGACAATAAAATCTTTTATGCAAGGCCTTTGGAAAAAAACAACATTTATTCTGGTTTATTAATTTTTGTTCAAGCCAATAAATAAAGAATATTTATTTGATTTCCTAAAACTTATTAGCTGCAAAATAAATTAGTAGGAGAGAATATAAACAACAAACCCTGCTCCATGAACGACAATACAAGAGAGACCAGCTTCTCTGCAGCTTCTAATGCAATTGGCAGCTATCAAAAGTTCTTCTTTCTTTATTGTTTCAAATGTGTTTTTATCTGTTATAGCACTGCCGCCAAATTTGATAATAAGATCTATGAATGTGTTTGTATTATTCATGATTCATGCTGAGGGTAAAATGATAAGCATTTTTAAAGTAGGGATTATAAATTATAATATTTAACTAATATGAATTATTCATGTAGAAAGTAAAATTTAAAGCCTTATAAATTATGCCTGATAAATAATAATATATAACATCAACTATTATAAGAAAGAATATCAGCCAGAAACAGGGCATACTTCAGTAGTCAGAAAATACTCAGAAGCAAAAACATTACAAGAGAAACAAAGAAAACTATTTAAAAACTGTGATCAGACCAGTTGTAACATATGCAAGTGAAACTTGGACCCTAACAAAAACAGCAGAAAACCTATTAAACACATGGGAGGGGAAAGTTCTCAGGAAAATATATGGGCTATCAAAAGATGAATATGGATGGAGAATACGAACCAACCAGGAATTATACAGTCTATATCAGGATCCCACGATAGTGGCAGAAATAAAAAGAGGCAGGCTACGCTGGGCAGGACACTTAGAGAGAATGCCAAATGACAGAGGAACGAAGAGGGTACATCACCAATACCCCAGAGGAAAAAGGCTCAAAGGCAGACCTAGGCTTAGGTGGATAGATGATATAGAAAAAGATCTACAGCAGCTGAAAGTCCAAGCATGGAAAAGAAAGGCATTAGTTAGGTCTGAGTGGAAGGAAGTGGTGAGGGAGGCCAAAGCCCTACATGGGCTGTAGCGCCACAGGGATGGATGGATCAACTATTATAGGCCTAATGATTTTAGAAAAACAATACATTTAAAGGGTAAAAGTAAAATATAACTAAATTTAATATAAATGTTCAATAGGCTACACTAATAAAATACAACTAGCCTAAACATTTTATATTACATATCATATATATAAAAGATACCAGTAATAGCCTTAGCTTAGTTGCTAATGAAGGATGTAAGCCAATTTTTTTAAGGTAATAAAATTATTAGAATTTATAATAAATAGTGGAACAAGACACATATATTTACTTGCTCTATTACGGTTTGATTAATACTTTTGTTTTTACTTCATTTAGCTTAACCATTACAAAATTATAAAGGCTGAGAAAACACTAAAAACCGAAAACTAAATTTTGAAGAAAAGTAGATAAAATAAGTTGAGTCTTGGTTTATTTTCAATTTTTTTTCCGAAAATTAATTATGCATGTAATATTTTAAACTTGCCTAATGGGGAAAAAACCATAATAAAAGAAACATTAAATAAAGTAATAAATACTTATATTTGTGTCATATAGTATTAGTTAAGAGTATTGGGGCCGTCCATAAATTATGTCTTCAAATTTATGTATGCATATTTTAAAATATCAGCCATTTCCCTTAGTGCAATAGTTGGCACATACACATACTCTCTCTCTCTCTCTCTCTCTCTCTCTCTCTCTCTCTCTCTCTCTCTCTCTCTGTGTCTGTCTCTTTCTCTCCATTTTCGATTTTTTTTTTTTTTATTTTTTTGAATGCACTTGTCTAAGTTCTCCTGTCATACAATCCATAAATTATGTCTTCAAATTTATGTATGCATATTTTAAAATATCAGCCATTTCCCTTAGTGCAATATTTGGCACATACACATACTCTCTCTCTCTCTCTCTCTCTCTCTCTCTCTCTCTCTCTCTCTCTCTCTCTCTGTGTCTGTCTCTTTCTCTCCATATTCGATTTTTGTTTTGATTATGTTTTTGAAAGCACTTGGCTAAGTTCTCCTGTCAAACAAAATATTGCCGGTTCTGTCGATTCTACCAATTTCATATCATTTGAGAATATATAATATGTATATCCAAGGTTAACGAGTCCCATCCACCCGGGTTGCTGGTGATGTTTTTTCTTGACTGGGCTGTGGTGACCACTCGGACAACCTGCAACTCATCTAAGGGAAGCAAAATTTGAATGCAAAGCCGGAGATGGAGTCCCGTAGACGGATACCATTAGCACAGTGAAATATTCCGACAACTCACGTGACTCCACCAGTGCCAAGCTGTATCGTCCACAGGCCACATGATGTTCCCTTGGGTTATCCAGCGGCGTGGGGAAAGACGATATGCTGTGTTGGAACCAGCGTCTATAAAGCTACAAAGAATAGTCTCGGGCCTTGTGGATTTCATCCTGCGAAGTCTACACCATCATCACATTGCGACGGACGGATGCCAGCAAAAAAAAAATACCATAATAATAAATAAATTATATATACATATTATATATATATATATATATATATATATATATATATATATATACAGAGCTTGTTAACTACACTTTTCTCCCGTGAGTGAACTTTCTTTGACCCCGCATTAGACTTCGAGCAGACAGTAACGTTCGTTCTGGGCGTGGTTAAAAGTCTTTGATGTATCGTATTTACTACCGAGTTCCAAATAAACATGGTTAGGATGTCTACTAGTATCTTGTCGAAGGTTCTCGATTGTATTAGAAAACTAAGGGCGTTTCTAGACGCGTCGGTAGACCCACATATATAAGGGATTGACAGGCAAAGATGGACGGAGATTGATAGATATGTTTTAACTTCATGAGACGTGTATTTTTCTTTGTGTACTTATATGTATTTATTCACATTGATCATTCATCATTATTCATTGGCACATTGTACTAACTGTGTTACGGTACAAGATCTACCATACTGTACGTTGATGATTTGCAATATTTCTTTTGTTTTATAATTGTATTATTACTAAATTAAATCTTATTAATTGTAAATGGAACTGTTTTGGGTGTCGTACTTTTGTTATTTTATTTTTCTATGGTATCGTCCTTTGTTAGGCACTGTTTGAATTTAAAATAGGAGATTCATTTCTCACAAGAGAAGGCAGTGCGTAACAGTATAATATAATATTATATCACCACCAGATTGTTTGTTTCGTTTCTAAAAATCTAATTGACGTCTAGTTTCAGGGAATCACTTTTACCATTTTATTCATTAAAACATTATCCTTTCCAACTAAAGATGGCAAAGTGTTTTGAGATCTGTGATAAATTACATAATCGTAGGCTAGAGGTAAAAAACCAATACAAATAAATGAATGCAAATCCAGGCACATCGTATAAAATTGACCTGCCGAATTCGGATGGTGGCTCATCGAAGAGAACACAAAAAGCTATGGGAGCCCCTATTGGCGCAAAGCTGCATCAAACTTTTGACGTTCCCTTTGGAGTGTGTCGATCTGCTGTCCAGGAAACAGTTGATAATCCATAATAATTATCTCGCCAAAAGTTTTGCTTGGCAGAAACACTTCCTGGGAGAGTAAACCGTCGTCTCTTTTAAACGAACAGACGTCCCCCATAATATAAATCTATGAGACGATTTTAAACTTTAATGTAGACAAATACAGATTGTTGAGTCTCCCACGTCTGTCGGTCCAGTTTTATATGTTATTTTTGCCTGTATGTGTACAGGGGCGGAACGAGAGATAGAATAGGAGATGGCGATTTTTAATGAATCCGCTGAGGCTTCCGGAACTTTTTATGGGGACATTTTTTAATAGGCCCGTTTTAAGGGTATAAATTATGTCCCAATATATGAAATATTATTTTTAAAAATAATGTCAAATTGTAAAGCAAAATCATAAGTAAGTGATTGCAAAAATAATATTGAAGAATTATTTATAAGTATTTAGGATTTTTCCAATCCATACATCTTGCTCTGACTGGCCAGGCCATCTACGGTAAGTCAGTAAATATTTATAATTAGTAAATAATACTGAATATGCATCTATTTTACTTTATCAGTATGATACGGCAGGATATTAAAATTAAAGGCATAAGTCTAACAAGTACTGATTTCTTCTGTAGTCACGTTGTGTCTGTAACATTTTGAATCAATAACCCCAAAATATTTTCACAATCGCCGTTTCGTAATTAGTTACTTCTAGACTGACTTCAGTGTATACTCTGTTAAAGTTTTCTACAAATTGTCTAAATTAGAAGCAAAATCTACAAGCTCTTCACAAATTATAGCCGTCATTGCTTCAGCGTTGAATCACAAAGTTGTGTTGCTGGGAAATTTGAACAAGTTTCGTGCGACATTCCAGGAAGATCATCGACACCACTCAAATACCATACTTGCGTCTGTCTTGACCTTTTCTGTAAATCTTCTTTTTTTTCCTTCAAAACTATTTAACACTTAAAGACACGGCCGTTAACATCGGTATGATATGTTTGAATTTGATAAACAATAATTTGTCATCTGCAATTTCTCCGTTAGGCACTGTTCGATTTCCAGAAGTTGCATGCGGTTATTCTTTCAATTTCAAAAGCCCTTTTTAAAAAAAAATTTAAAAAATTAAATATTACTGTTAATTCGCCCAATGTGTTACAGAGAGCTTGTTTACACAATATTTCTCGTACGTGCCCTCTGATTGACCCCGCATGAGACGCTGTGTTCACAAAGGGGTGTGGCTTAGGTCTTTGATGTATTTCTTGTTTACACCGCCAGCCACTGAAAATAATTAATCTGTTCCAAATAGTATTTGGTAGAATGATTGGGATTTTTCTCGAAATGTCTCGAAGGCAGGGCTTGGGCGTCGGTAGACCCACCTATATAAGGGATTGACAGGCACGGACGACAGACGGAGATTTCATATAGATTCTCTTAACATTACGAGGCGTGTTTTATTCTTTTGTGTATTTGTGTGCTCCTACTTATATGTGTTTATTCCGCATTATTTATTGGCATCATTATTTCTAATTGTATTAACTGTGTACCGGTACGACATCTGCCATACTGTAAGTTGAAGATTGTAATTTTATTTTATTTTATTTTGTAATTATCTTAAGACATAATAAATCTTAATTAATTGTAACTAGAAACTGTTTTGGGTCGTATCTTTAATATTGTTGATTATATGGTATCGTCCTTTGTTAGGCACTGTTTACAACGAGCCAATTAAAATTAAAATAGGAGATTAATTTCTCCCAATACAAGTCAGTGCGTAACAAATTGGGTTGCTCGTCCCGGATATAGCGGACTCTATATTATTATTTTTCTCAAGACCCC